TTTGGGGGTTTAGGAAACCGTAAACCCTTCTAAGCAAAGTGCCTGGATAAAGCATAGCTTGGACTTGTCGGAAAGACAAAGAATCGAACACCACCAGTTCTTCACGACAGTAGTGAAGGAAAAGGCATGTTCTAGGACCGAAACCAAAATGCCTATGTAGTTTCGACAACCCAACCAACCAGAACCGACCAACTCCGGTAGTGCGGCCAGACAATTCGACGCCTACTCAAACCCACGCAGCTGCAGCAAAACCCTACTCAAAGGGGAAAAGGAGGGACCCTTAGTGGGGACCCATACCCTATAATGGGCTATAAAATGGGTATATAATGGCTATATTATGGGTATATTACCTAGGGGTCCGTATTAAGGGTCCCCCCTCTTACCCTTGGACCTACAAAACGCGACAGCACCTTGCACCCTGAACTCGTAAGCAGCCATGGGTCATTCTGATCGGAAGGCCTCTGAGATGGATGCTCTGCAGGTTCAGCAACAAGCGGTAGTGGTGGAAATCACCCTCCAGAAGGTAGGAGTGGAGCTTCTTTCGCAACATGGTGTCGATGATTGGTAGAAGGCTCTGTCGATCTTCATCAAAAGTGAACTCCCCTTCACCGACCGGGCTGTGCACCCAATCCCAGTTAGGAGTCAAAGACTGATGCACGGAGCCTAAGGGGCAGAGTACACTCGCCCAAAACAGCTTAAGCTATTGAGTTGTAGTAGGATTATATAAACCCCAAACGGCTAAAAGGTTAAGCTTTCGAATTCTAGTAGGATTATATAAACCCCAAAAGGCTGAAAGGTTAAAGACATTACCATAATTAGTAGGGTTTGTATATATAACCTCAAAAGGTTGAAAGTTGAACACTCAGCTTCTAAGGAGCTGCTACTAACCCTGGGCATCACAATGGCCCAAAAGCCTTATATAGTATGGTCTTGCCCAAACGCCTTAATACATGGGTGGTTGTCAAATTAGGTCCCTCTTTGGGGTACCCTGAATATTATTAGGTGCCGTACTATGTTCGGGACCCAAGAAGGGACCATAATTTTGACAACTACCCATATGAGTCCTTAGATCCCTGGGGTAATAATGAGCCCATAGATCCATGTATAGATCCATTTGTAGATCCTTTCAAAGGACCCCTTAAAGGACCCCTATCCTACATTGTTGGGTTTAGGGTTTTAGGCTTCGAAGGAGCTCTGGATCTCGATGCAGAAGCCCTTGCTTGCGTGAGCACTGAGTTCTCGAGTCGCTCGCTCAAGGCGGCACCAACCTTTTGCGGCTTTCGGGGTTCGGGATCCTTAAAAGAGTTCCTTAAAGGGATCTATAGTAGGGCTCTATAGTAAAGGCTCGAAATTCCCAAGATCCCGAAACCCAAAGAGCTACACCCTAAAACCCTAAACCATTAAAGACCCAAAAATCCTAAACCCTTAAAACCCTAAAACCCTAAACCATTAAAGACCACAAAACCCTTAAACAACCCCTTAAAAACTTCTTAAAAACACTAAAACCCTAAAACCCTAAGACCCTAGACCCCAGCAACCTCGAGATTCCCAAGATCGCTTGGAGAGTAGGCCCTGGTTCTCGCGATGATGAACATGCGGGCAGAGGATCACAAAGAAGATCGCCTTGTCTACATAGGGTTTAGGGTTCAGGGTTCAGGGTTTAGGATGTCTATTCCTTATTGGGTTTACCCATAAAAAATATAAAATGTTACCCAACGATGACAAAGTCGCCTTGTCTACATAGGCGGGGATGCTGGAGATGGCCAGTTCGCGATCTTGGGGGGAGTCTTGCGGACAGGCGAAGTAGTCGTACCAAATGAAGAGAGGCTTGGAACGTAACTCCTGGGATGGAAGGTGAGTCTGCTGCCCGGTGTACATCTCCACGCTGATATCCGCAGAGATGGTCGTCTCCCCCGAGAGTGCTTTCCTCTGTCTGGTACTTAGTGAATGGGGGAATGGATCCTATAGTAGTCCCTATATAATCCCCAATAGTAGTCCCCACAGTCCATTCCCCCATTCCCTACTAAGAACCAGACAGTAGACCCTAAACCCTAAAACCCTATAGATCCCTTAAAGGATAACTTAAGGCTCCCCTATTCCCTACTAAGAACCAGACAGTCCTGAGCGCACCCTGCAAGACCGAAAACTGGTCCAGGTTGGGATCGGGATGGTCCATGGCAGCCCACTGGTGCGACACGAACATAGCATGTCCTGGGCTGAATACCATAAAAGAGAACTGAAACAAGTAAATCTTGCTCCTTCACAAAGTCTCGGCTATTCAAAACTAAATGAGATTTTACCCCAACCCAAACTCCTGAACTCCTAAAACCTAAGTCCAGTCTCCTTTGGAATGGTCAAACTCCACGAGCAATCCGTCTGCCAGGAGCTCCTCATGTGGCCGAAGGCGCGTCATTCCCAGGATGGCATCTACTGGGACCACCTGCAAAGAAGGCACATTTTCATAACACTCGGACTACTGTAATAGTTAGCAGTACTACGAGTAACAGTAGCACTAGCAGAAGAAGAAGTAGCAGTAGGAGGAGGAGGACGAGGAGGAGGAAGGGTTCGTATTCTATACTACACCCCGAAAAGGGTTCACCCTAAACCCTAAACCCTAAAACCCTAAACCCTAAAGCTTTTGGACCGGTCGACGTACATCGGAAAGAGCTGCAAGTCGCTAATCGTGATCCTTGCCGCTTTGGCCCGGAGTTGGCAAGCATAGGTCAGCAAACCTGCTTAGAGGATCATGGGACTTAGTAAGTAGGTTATAATTGGGGTTATAAGTCCCCTAAGTGGGGTTATCCTAATTATATCCTACTTATAACCTTACTTACTAGGTCCCATGAGCCTTTGAGTGGGCTTTAACCTGGGCTTTAAAGCCTCTGACAAATATTCGTACATAGGGTCCTATTAAGCCCAATAAGGGAAAATGTAAAATATCCCAAAGGCCTCTCCTGGGCTTTGAAGTAACCAGGGAGAAAGAAGTATAGACTTTTGTTTCATAGTTGGTTCCCCTTAAGTAACAGGTCCCCCAAAAGTATGAAAGTATGGTACTCCAAAGCCCAGAAACTGGTGCTCGGCTCTTCTGCGAAACAGGTTGCAAACATGGCAACAAGGGCAAAAGGAGCAGACACGGAGTGAAGCTATTTCAAAACCTTCGGCTTTTCAGGCCGCTTCACCTTTTTGAGCATCAAAGGCAAGGGCAAGAGGTCACATGCGGCTGTCGAGCATGGCCCTTTGAAAGGTTCGAACTGTGCCCGAGCCTTTGACGAGGGGTATCTTATTTAAGGGTCTTTGCGATGCGGATGCCAGATTTTTGAGTTCTATACTGGGATCAAACCCAGAGCCGGATCCGGCTAGTCTTCCCTACTGCACAATCATCTCTTTGGCTGGAGAAAGGACTCCCCAAGACGATGATTAGAGCAACTCCATACAGTTCATGTAAGCCACAAGCCCTAACGCCTCCGCCCCAAAGCGAGGAACTCGTCAATCTCCGTTCACCCAACATTGAGATTCCGGATATGTTGCAATGGGCCGAATCCCGAACAGTTAAGCCCGAGGCACTAAGACCGAAACTCTACACCCCAAACCCGGAACCCAACGCACCCTAAAGCCACATGCTTCTCCTTGCTTTGATCCTTCCATTCTGGAGGAATTCAGGGTTTGGGTTTCAGGATTTAGCATCAAGATTTAGGTGGGTTTTAGGGTTCAGGATAAAGATCTATGCGCATTTGGAAGCAAGCTCGCAGCCGAATGCCCCTAAACCCCTTAACCCCAAACCCTACAAGAACCAACTGTCTGCTCAGCAATGAGTATCTCAGAGTTCAGAGCCTAGGCAAATTCGGGGTGTGAGGATTTAAAGCTTAAAGATTAAGAACTAGGGGTTTTGAGCTTCTGTGACAATCACGGGCGGGGCGGGGCAATAAGGGCGGGTGGTGTAGGTCAAGAGTTTTGACTTTGGCAGCTAACTTGCGTACACAACCGTCTCTCTCTCAGCAAAGACCCAGACTCACAAAAATCCTTCCGTCTGAGCCCAAGCCAGACTCGGACATGTACCGAAACCAAAACCATCTAGCTCCTGTTCCAAACCTTTGAGGTATCTAGCTTGGCTTTGAAAGCCTATTGTGGCTAAACGCCAAACCTCCAGCCCTGTACTCGAAGACCCTAAACCAATCCCAAAACAAACCCCCAGACACCCTAAACTCTAAACCCAAAGCCTATAAACCCCAAACTCCGAACCCAAAGCCTTAAACACGAAACCTTAAACCTCGAAACCTCTAAGGGGGCCCTATTCTACCCGATGCTTTTCTTAAAGGAGCCCACAAGAGCGGCCCTGGTCCTGTGCTGAAGTCCTTGGCGCTGAGGCAGCCAATCCCCAGAGGCTACGGCGCTGAGCCAAAAGGTGCCACAGGACAGATTCTTGTGTTTAAGAGAGGTTTAGGGGTTAGGCTTCCGCTAAAAGGGTAAGATTCTCGGGGGTAAGAGAGTTGATTTGGGGGTTAGGGGTTAGGCTTCCGTTAAAAGGGTCCTATAAGGGTTCCTTTAAGTGATCTTGAAGGGTTTAAAGTTTAAAGAGTTCGCTCAGGGTGCAGGGTGTAGGATTGCGCGTGTGGTGGTATGTAAGGCTTTTGAAACCGTTACGATCTTGGGATGAGCGCCTTGGGCAGCTGGGATGGCTACTTGTCCCGGTTGGCAGTGAAACTAACAGTTAAGTAAATTCCTGAAGTGCCACTAGTCACTAGTGCGATCCGCTCATCGGCATATACCCCGGACCTGCATAATGCGTACTTGATGCCGTATGCGAGGCTTCATGTGATCAAGAAGAGTTTCGATAATCGCTCGGACATCCGGAGCCAAGACCTACCCGCATCCGTTGAGCAGCACTACACATGGCTAAACCATGCTAAGCCCCCAAAATACTAAGACCAGAACCCTAACCCCTCAGACCAAAACCGGTAACCTTAAACCCTAAACCCTTTTCTGTTTGCGGTCCGGGATGCACAAAGAAGGCTTCCCCGTCGAAGCGGCTCCGGGGGCTTTGCCCCATAGCAAGGGCCACCTCGCAGAACTAGGCGCTTTTGGGGTTCAGGGCTTAGGATTCTAGGATACCCAGTAACCTAAGAATAAAAAGGCCTCTCTTTTTGGTATTGGGTATCTTTATAAGGAACCTAGGACTACAAAAAGGGAATAAGGGTACTACTGGGCATCCTAGGATTTCAGGGCCTGGTCAGGGTTTATGGCTTACCCAAACCCCTAAAAGCAGGTAAAACAATGGCCCAACAAATACAACAAGGCTCTTATTCTGCATACTCTTGGGGTCCAGGCCAAGGGTTTAGGGGTTTACTTAAAGATCATGGGACTGAGTAATTAGGGTTATAAACAAGGTAACTATAGTTATAACTAGTTATAACTCCAATTAAGGTATTTATAGCCTTACTTACTATGTCCCATGAGCCTTTAAGTAGGGTTCTCGCGCTTTTCTGAAATTGCGCCTTTGCTCAAGGTCAGGCCGGGCTCCGACAGAGGCCGCATGCAGAGCTTGGGGCCTTAATGATTGGAATGCGGCCCTTTGAGGAGTTCCATAATTATTTGTAGGCCCTACACCCCACGAGCCCAATATACTCTGCAAGGCAAAAGGCGCCGGTAAAGGCTAGGAAATAGGATTTAGGGCTCAGGATTTAATTAAAGTTTAGGGATTGCGATGCAAGGTCTTGCCGCAACCCCCAAAGCAGATGCCTGGAGCTAATGTGCAGTGAAGCTGCTTTTTCTAGTATCCACCGGAAGACCCACTGTGCGCAAGCTGTCTACACCTAGACACCCTCACCCTCAAGGGCCCGAAAAACACTCTCAACCAATGCAGCAAGCCGTTGCGGCTCCTGTTTGAATCAGCCCCTGCAATGGAGTGCCTGCTTGAGAAAGTCCGGATCAGATAGCTCCGCCTGATGTTTTCACAGCCATCGTAGTCAAGCATAGGCATGAAAGCTGTTCTTGAACGCCTTTTTGTCCACCTACGGGTGCAACTCCAAGGAGATTAGACTCAGGTTTTCAGGGAATTTAAGACTTCGGGCTTAGCGTGCAGCTTCTCGAGAAACTGAGCCGAATCCTTGAAGCTCGCGGATGCGGCATGTGCCGTGAACTAACCCTAATCCGTAAGCCCTACTTCCCCAGAACCCGGGTGACAACGAGGAGTCCGGGCCTCAGTCTCTCTTCGCAAGTTGACGGCCTCAAGGGTAGCAGTGTTGAGGAAAGGCTTCTCTAAACGGCCGGGGCATTCCAGGGCCTTGCACGGATCCTAAAGAACCTACCATTTTATGGCTCCGTATTATGATTTCTTCTTATAAGTCCTGAAAAAGGTATGTCATTCAGGGCCTTGGGGGTTAGGGTGCAGGGGTTTAGGGTTTAGGGGTTTAGGGGTTGCGCGGATTGTGCTGAAGACATAGAAATCTGGGCTTTCGCCCACGGTCTCTGCTGCGCACATGATGACTGCAGGTGGCAAAAACGTTGCTGTGAGAATCCCGGCAGGCAGTTAATTACTTGCGAGAGTCCTCGCAACAAGCCCTCGCAAAGAGACCTACAGATATGTACATGCATCATGCCTGCATGCATATATGCAGCACATGAATTGCTTGCACACAGACCGTCTAGACGATCAGCCGAAACTTAGACGGTAAAGCCCTAAACCCCCCTACGCCCGAAGCCTACACAAATCCCATGCCCCGCGAACTAAAACCCTTTGGAACATAAGGAACCCTGACAACGAAAAGTAAACAACCTGTTATATATATATATATACACACACATAGAAATATGCATTTATTTATTTGTTTGTATTATTACAGAACGATAAATCGATACATAGATAGAACTATAGATAGATATATAGGAGCCATGAGAGGAACCTTCACAAACCCCCTGAGCCACCTCCTCCGGGCCCAGCGCCTCCTCCACATCGCACCTCGAAGTGTCTCCAGGGTTTTGGGGGGCCTTTGGGCTTACCCTGAGGGTGCATGTACCTAAATAGCCTACTTGTCCAGTAGCATGGGGCACTAAAGGTTAACCTTTGGGATTATATATGTAGTAACACAAAAAGGTTGAAGGTCACCTACTCTACTTCCAAGATAGTATACACATTGGCCTTAAAGTCGTCCCTATATAGGTAGTTTGGGCCCAAAGTATATACTATTTAGGTACTTGGACCCTGAGGGTTTGGGTAGGCTGCTTTAAGGCCAAAAAGGGACTGGCCCCACCCGGGCCCCAGGCCGGCCCCGGCGCGCATTAAGGCGCCTATACTATCCATCTGAGAACAGCACCACTGAGCCATAGCATGATGAAGCACTCTTGCTAAGCTCGTAGGAGGGAAAGGCTTGGGGGTTGAGGCTTAATTAGTATTTGAGGTCAGGGATTGGGGTTCAGGGTTGGTTGAGAGCAGGCATGAGTGATCGTCGCGTTCTCTGTGAGACTAGAACAAGGCTTAGAGTACTCATGCTGCCTTGCTGTCCTTCCGTGGAAGTGGGTAACAGAGCACCCAAAGCAACCACTCAACTTCCGAACTTGTGATCCCCGCTTTCACCATCCTGGCCAAGCTTAGTCTCCAGACTCTCTTTGACTCCCGAGGACAACAGTTAGAATGGGTTCTGGGGTATATCAAGAGGTAACACGGCTATTAACATGAGGATCCCTAGGAACAAACAAAGATTGGTAACTATTTAAGCGTCTATGTTGGGCATTTCCGAGCCATTGTATGATGTCACTGTGCTGCGTTCTGCACCTGTCTGTGAGCCTCGTTTGCGGTCAGCAGGCCATATGGGCGGTTGTCAAAATTATGGTCCCTTTTTGGGTGCCCTAAATAATAGTTGCCGTATTATATTAATTAAGGACCCCGAAAGGGACCATAATTTTGACAACCACCCATATAATATAGGTGCACAGCCCCAAACTCAAAAGCCTGAAACGCTACAGCCCGAACACTAAAAGCCCTATAAAGCTCCCTGAAGCCCTATGAAACTATTTACTATTATGGTTCTCTACAAAGTAGTAGGGGAAATTAGACAAGATCCCAAAGGACAACCCAGCTAAAGCCAAAAACCCTATAACCCGAAGACACTGACCTTAACCTCAAACCGGGGAGCCTAAGGCCCTCAACCGCTTCCCCTACCGCCTGAATCCTACCAACATAGGCTCCATTGTAGTTCCTCTTTGTGGTTCATATTTCCCCAAGGGTCCAGGTACTCAAATAGTATATACATTAATTGGCTTTAAAGTAGTTAGTCCCTTAGGTATTGGGGCCAATGTATTGTACAGTAGAAGCCCAAAAGTTGGAAACCCAAGGGCCTCAATCCTTAAAAGTAATGTATATGGAATCCCAGCACTATTTGGCCTTAACCCGGTTTCCAACTTTATGGGGTTTCCTGTAGTTCCTCTTTGTGGCTCATATTTGGGATCCTATAAGGGAATCCTCAAAAGGAACTACTATGGAGCCTATGGGCCTCTCGACGGAAACACGAGAGCCGAAGTCCAGTTTAGGGTCCTCCGGGTCCAGTGTGTACTAATGACTCACTACATGGGGACTACAAGGGAATATTCTTACATACTAGTTGTCGTGACCGATGTCCTAAACCCCAAACCCGCCTTTTTTGCATCGGCTCTATGCATCTCATGCTAGCGACAAGGCGCTGAGAACGAATTACGAATGCATCATCGGACTGACGAGCTCGTGAAATCAGAACCCTAATGTAAGGCTTTGGATGTCGGGTTGAGGCTTTAGGAGCAACCGTGAAAATCATAACCGCACTGGCAGGGTTTGGGGTTTAGGAGGGCTCTTGTAGTCAGAACTTTGATCTACGGCTGATGATATAAATCCTGCATTACCCATAATAAGGAATATACCATAATTCCCATAGCTTAGGGTGCTTACGGTAATGCAGGATTTATATCATCAACCGTAGGCTGTACAGGGCCTTAATAAATTGAAAAGGACTCTGGGGGGGTAAGTTTTTCGCGCTTTTCCAACGGCCAAAGCCCAGATGAATTCTTTCGGTTTCCTTTGGGCTTCAGTTGGCAGGCTACGAATAACCCTTTGCAGCTCACAGCAAAGATGGCAGATTAAAGAAGCTCTGGTAGCGTTACGGCTGTAGGGCTTAAGCTAACGATCTTGAGGGCTCCAGGGTTTGGGGTTTTGGGCTCAGGTTTTGCCTCGAACTTCTCGTGGGCAACTGATATGACTAAACATTTATTTTTTTTATTCCGTATTGGGTTTGAGTACCTATAAATATGTAAAATGTTACCCAGCTATGACAAAGGAAAAGGTTTACATGAAGTAAGCTTGTCTTGTTTGTAGCATCGACAAGAGGTAATACCCGAAGCAGACATACGCTTGCAAAGAGGTTACTGTCAACCCACGTCGCCAGAACGGACCAGGACATTGGCATTCTGCTGCAAGGCCGGTGATGCAACGCCAAACAACTGAGTCAAGCCTCGGAGTTGAAGCCATGAGAGATCTTCGAATGGCCCTCCTTTGAATTAGAAGAGAGCAGGAGCCCAGCGTCCATGCGCAAAGTCCCGAGCCCGAAAATACCCGAAATCCTCAGCCTAAGCGCTTACACAGTGTTTGGGGCCTCTTTCCCGAAGGGTCCATGTGCTCATATAGTATATACATTGGCCATAAACCCTAAGAAAGGCACTTTGGGGCCAAAGTATATACTATTTGGGTACATGGACACTTATACCCCAAACCCTCTTGGAACCCTTATGGATCCCTTCAAGGAGCCCTTAAAAGGAGCCCTATTTGGCCTGGGGTTAGGTCGTCTTTGGGACTTCGATGACCCGGGACGCTGCATCGGGAGCCGGCGCAGGTGACCCTCGCCGCGGTGGAGGCTCCTCCGGGTTTAGGGGTTTGGGGTTTAGGTTCTAAGGCTATTTTAAGGACTTTCGGCGTTTAAGTGAGTCTTCATGGTTAGAATAGGGTTCGTCGTGGTTTAGTGAAGATGCTCCTCGAGGTGGTACGGGGGCAATTAAGCTGAATGATTTAGTGTTTGGGGTATAGGGCTTAGGTGGGTGATGAGTGTCAGGGATCTGGAGAAACACTAGTAGCAACCCGTGGTCCCGAAATCATGTTTGTGTGTACTTTCATATGCCTCAAGACACGGCTGTAGTCAGTAGGGCCACAGAATAAGGGTACAGGTTCGACCTCGATTCTCGCGTTTGTGGATCGGGTTTAGCATTAAAGGCTTCGGGTAGTCAGGATGGATTGCTTGCGGGTAGAAAGGTTTAGTGGTTAAGGCTTCCTTTCAGGTGTAGGTTAGCTCCGTTTCGGGCCCTATTATAGTTGTGATAAGGAACCCCCAAAATAGTACAGGTAACTATCAAGGGCCCAACATTAGGCTTTAGGGAATCTCCAGGCTTCCGGTGTGTTGGGGCTTTCGGGTTCACGTGGGGAAGGGGGAGGTTGAGGGTTACAGGCTCTGCTACTTGGAGGGTCGGGGGACTTAGTAAGCAGCTGTTTTATAGACTTATAGGTATCATAACCCCAACTAGGATCCTTGTTAGGGTACTTATAAGTCTACTTACTACCTACTTACTAAGTCCCCCGACCCTCCAAGTCATACGAGGCCTAAAAGTGGTTGCAGGGTTTAGACTGACTTATCTTGCCTACAAGAAGAAACCCTAAACCCTAAACCCTAAACCCTAGGCGTTGGCTTCAGGAGTTGCGTAGTTTTCCTTAGGGATCCGCGCTCCGAAGGCTGACCTCAAGTGTGGCTTACGCCCACGCCTCCCCAGGACCGCAAGTGCGCTGGGGAGGTCTTGATCAACTTGCTGTTGGCTGTGATATCTGATCTGGCTCGCCCTGGATATTCACTGCCACTGCTTGCTTCTTTGCGAGGATTGCTGCTGATCTGGTTTCGCCCTGGTAGCTTTCCTACGCGTGTATGCTCTTTGTGTTCTACGCCCTCTCCTTTCTGAACCTGCTGGGACAGTATTCCGCTGGAAACTGCAGCGCACAGACGGGAGCGGAGGCAGCGCACGCAGGCGAGGACGCTGCTGCGCAGTTTTGTTTCGGGGCAGGTGGACGCGCCCCGTTTCAGGGTACTCGCGGCCTGCCAAGCCCTTGCAGGCCACCACAGCGGCAGCGAGCTGCCATCACAGGCCCTGCGAGCTCTACGGGCACGGGGTCCTTACGTCACGATGCCGGGCAACAAACCGCCACCGTGGACGTGCCAGACATGTGCACGACAGAATCGCGGCACACAGGATTTCTGTGGAGGATGTGGACTACGCTGGAATGCCAAGCCACAGGCCGCCTACTGGCAGGGAGATCAGACGACTCCCTGGCAGGACAGACCCAGGTCCTGGCGAGCAGAGTCGCCGAGGACGCGCAAGCCCAGATCCCCACGGAGGACGGGCAAGGGCAAAAACGCCCCTCAGAATGGAGGCGGCAAGTCGAGCGCAGCAGAGCCGGCCCCCTCGGGGGTGCCGAAGGTGCAAGCGCCAACGCTTCAAGGACTGCCGCCACCACCGGCCTTGCCGGTGACCCAGGAGAAGCCGCCGACGCAGGCACCGACAACAGAGGTTTCGCAGGATCGCGCTACCTTGCAACAGCTAGTGCAGCTGCTCACAGCACAGAAGGACTCCCTGCCGGAGGCGGTGAGAGATCTTATGAGCCAGCAGGCCCTGACGGAGACTCAGGACCATGCTCGGACAATGCACCGATACGTTTCAGCGCAGGCCAAGGCGCAGAAAGAACTGCAACGTATCAAGGACAATCGTTCCAGCTTCCTGGCCTCGTGGAGCTCCTACCTCGAGAAGCTTTGCGCTCTGGTTCAGAAGCAGACAGAGGACCAGGCGATAGCTCTGTCAGAACTGGACGAGCAGGAAGTCCAGTGGGGAGACAGGCTGAGAGACTCAACAGCCAAACTCGCCAAGATGGCGGGTGGGGCCGGCTCATCTGGCGATCGGGAGCCAGCCCAGGACATGGAGCAGGACGAGGAGGATGCCAAGATCGACGAGTCCATCCAGGCCGAGTCCGAGCTGAAGCGGCAACGGGAAGCTTACCAACAGCCGGGGCTCGACCTCTTACAAGCTCTGCGAGTGGCGCAAGCTACGGCCAGCGAGGATGCCGCCAAGGCGGCTCAGCATGCCACAACAGGACGGGAAGCGTCGAGATCCCCGCGGAGAGTCGTCAAAGCAGAGCAGGTGGACTCTTCGCCAGAGCTGCGGCCGCAGCAGCATGGCTTCTTGGTGCCCGGAATGAATTTGGAGGCCAAGGATGTCAAGCAGTCCCCTCAATAGGCCCTTGCTATGGCTATTCGAGCATGCAAGGGCCGA